ATGGTGTTCCTCAAGGAAAGTCTTAATCCTCTTTAAAGTAGAAAAGCACCTTTCTGATTCGGCTGTGGTCATGGGTGTGGTGACAAGAATCTTCTTTTGCATGGCTCAGGATGGTGTGAAAAACCTGTCATATGATAAATAAAACACAACAGATAAGTACATAGGAAACACTTTCATAGGAAATAATGTCATCAGTATCCTCTTACAAATGTCATATTTCCCAGTTTTTGTGACAATAAAACATTTCTGATTCTCAATCAGATGTTTTTACATTTGAGGTAAAAACATCTCATTGAGAATCAGAAATGTTTAATTGTCCCAAAAGCTGGGAAATTTGTTTGCTGCAGCAGCAGAAGTGTAACAAGTAAACTGGAATCAGATTGATGTATGTACAAATTTACATGAAATACACATTTACGTGATTAAATATGTATAATAAGTATCCCAGATAGCAAAAAATGTTATTTCAATGTTGAGTTTTGGTCAAAATGGTTGATTTATAGTTATGGTTGAAACTTTGACAGTGGATCAACACTGAATACTTTCAAGTTGAAAATTTGTAATTGAATCAACATCGTATAATGGTTGATTTAATGGTTGAATAGCAAGCATTAGATCAACATTGAATATATGTTGTCAAACAGTGCACCTGGGGACTTTGGTCCCCCTGGAACTTTGGCGCCACGGCTCTGGGTGAGACCATTTGATAGAGAGTTAATATATATAAATTAAACAATGAGCTGTGTTTTGTGATTCTTTTTAAATAATTTGTTAGTCTTTCGAGTGTAAAACTGGTTATGTGCAAATATTGTAAGAAAAAAAGTCTAAGTAAGGGAAAAACAAACATTTCAGTCGCCAGACTGTGGGACTGTGGAATGGTCCGACCCAGAATTTCAGTTACCCGGCGCCATTTTGACTTTTTCAACTTGTGTTTAATCGTCGACCACGGTTCTCCTCATCACTGTGGTAAGTTTTATCACTGTGGTAAGTTTTAACTGACTTGTTGTTACAAAGAAAATACCCGCAGTTGATGCTGAACTAAATTGTTAAACGGAAGCAGTAAATTCGTATGCCTGTATGTGATTTCTCTGTAGGACCGCATTTACATCCAGCTAGCAATAGTTAGCAGCTAATGCTACGTTCATTTTTCTGTGAACTTTTTGATATGATTTAAACTTGAACGTGTTCAAATCAGTGTTCATTTCGTTGACTATATATTTTAGGGATTTTTTTGTGACGAATTAATTTGCACGGACTTAGACGACACGAAAACGAATAAAGATTTTTTTTTTTCGAAAACGAATAAAGATGCATACCAATAATTACTAAATTATCACGAATATTGACCGACATTATCTTTGACGAATAATAGACGATGACGACAATTGACAGATCCAATCAGAAAACGAAAAAGACCGAGGTGACCGAGAAAAGATCCAATCAGTAAATGGAACAGGCGGGACTAGACGAGAAAGAACCAATCAGAGTCCGGAGTCGGCCGCTGCTTGAACTAGCTACCAGACTTCGAGACTGATGTTTATTTCGGTAAAAAGGTTATGTCATTGAGAAAATGTCCGCGGTTGGGAGTACAAGCAATAGATGTGACCATCTGTGCTTGGTGAGTAACACAATCAGGGTTTTCCTTGGTTATAAAAGTATTGTGGCATTGTTAACAGCTAGTGGGGGTGAGAGGTGGGATGCTGGAGCTTAGCAAACCAAAACTACACAGAGCAGAGGGACGCGCATCGTGTTAATAGTTTTTATTTTTGTGACAGCTGGTCTGATCAGCATTCGGTGTTGTAGCGGTGTTTAGTGAGGAGAAACGTTCAGATGTCCCACCTTGTCCAAGCTGTCTAATACATACCTGCAACCGTGTCGCTTTTCGGCGAAAATTGCCGTTTTTGAAGCCAGATGTGGCGTTCACGTGAATCGTGTGAATAGTTTTTGTTTTGAGGGGAGGGGGGTTCTTCTGTCAGGTGTCAGCGATGGGTTCCAGTCACTTTTATGAGAATCAATCAGAGAAAGGAGGAGGGTCTCCGCTTTTTCTCACCATTATCAGCTGGTGGGGGGGCTCTAGTTTCGTTTCATTGCCGTTTGTGTCAGCGGAGACTGTAGGGGCGGGGCATGACGCTTAGGCCAGGGCAGGTGTTCAAGCAAATAGACTTATAAAGCGCTGGGGGAAACCCTGGTAATGTTATTGTGAGTGTAGACTAATGTTACTGCTCCTTTAACCGACGATTGATTGATAGTGAAAGTGGAACTAGAGATGCAGACTTATTCCAGCTGTTTTATGCAGTTGTTCGTTGGTCTAATAAATCACTGTTAAGGGCAAAATATCTTTCTGTCTTGTGTTTTAGTTCTGCACAAATATGTGGCTGTTCAATTCACATCTGCTTACCGGTATATATGCCAATATGGCCGCACTTATTTCTATGCATGCTGTTTTGCTTTCTCGAGGCCTAAAATATTCACTTCGCCTACTTGAAAGAAAAATTTTATTGCAACCATTTTTTGCAGGGGAACTGCAGCATAGTGATTTTTCCCCCTTCTCTTTTTCAGGTTTCCGAGAAGAGCAGAAATACATTTATTGCAGCCACGTAAATACACAGGTTTGTACACTGACCATAGCACCTGCATCAAGATAATGTCATCTTATTGGGCATCTTGTAAAGCTAAAAGACGCAAAGTCAAGAAATTAGTGCGGAACACAGCACAAGATATTTTCTCAGAATATAATTTAGCAGCTGATAATTCCAGTTTTGAAAGCACAAATCCTGTCACAACCTCCTCTGATGCCAGGCTAGATGGTTTCCTAACAACTTCAGATTCCTCACTAAACAGACCACTAATTTTAAGTGAACAGCATGACGATATCAACTTGTGCATTGCAGTCTTCAGATTCAGATTGTGAAACAGAGCCTGACAAAATGAACCCTGGCAGTAAAAATGATGAGCCGAATGAAGAATTCCTTCAAACAAGTTTAAAATACTGGGCAACGTCTTATTCTGTGTCTCTGGTTGCCCTGTCCTCATTGCTTTGCATCTTAAAGGTGTTTCATCCCACTCTTCCCAAGGATGGAAGAACATTGCTTGGAACAAAAGCAAGCGTCCCTACAACCAAAATAGAAGGGGGAGAGTACTATCATTTTGGGATAGTACATGGAGACCTTTCACGGTTAAAAAGTTTGAGTTTACTGGCAATTCCGACTACTCTTGTGTTACAATTTAACATTGATGGTCTGCCATTATTCAAAAGTTCAAAACTTCAGTTCTGGCCTATACTTGGGTGTTTGAAATGTGATTACTCTAAGTCTCCTTTTGTTGTTGGGATCTTTTGTGGTGTAGGAAAACCAAAGAGTGTTTGTCAGTACCTAGATCAGTTTATTGAAGATCTTAAGAATGTACTGAGTAATGGTATTATATATCTTGACAAGCAGTTTAAAGTTGTTGTTTCTTCCTTTGTTTGTGATGCTCCGGCCAGAGCATTCATTAAACAGACCAAGGCACATAATGGCTATTCAGGATGTGACAAGTGCTTTCAGGAGGGAGTATGGAGAAAGAAAATGACTTTCCCTGAAACAAAAGTTAGGCTTAGGACAGACTCTAGTTTTGTCGATAAGGTTGATGAGGAACATCACATTGGAAACAGTCCTTTATGTGGGTTAGTTAAAATGGTTTCTATGTTTCCAATTGACTATATGCATCTTTGTTGTCTTGGAGTTACTAGAAAACTGTTGAATTTGTGGTTAAAGGGTAAAGATATAAAAACAAGGCTTCCATCCCAAACTGAACGAACCATTTCAGAAAAACTGCTAAAGCTGCGGTCGTACGTGCCTTGTGAATTTAACCGTAAACCAAGGGCACTAGGAGAATTGGATCGTTGGAAAGCCACTGAATTTAGATCTTTCATGCTGTATTGGGTTCCAGTTGTTTTGAAGGATTGCCTTCCTAGTGAGTTGTATGACAACTTCATGTTGTTTTCTGTTGCTATGTACCTGTTGCTTTCCCCAGGTATTTCTGACGAGATGTTAGCTTTTGCTGACACGTTGATGGTGTCTTTTGTTCAGCACTTTGGACAGTTGTATGGAAAGGATGAGATTGTATACAATGTACACCAGCTTATTCATTTGACTGAGGAATACAGGCTGTTTGGTTCTCTAGATAATATCTCTGGATTTCCTTTCGAGAACTATCTTGGAAAAATCAAGCATCTTCTCCGTAAACCATACCAGCCTCTTCAGCAAATAGTGAAACGGTTATGTGAAATGCCACATATTGAGGCACCAAATCCAACAAATGACCCAATATTACAGAACATCCACATTGATGGTCCTTTACCCCCCCCCCCCCCCCCAGTTCACCTCCTCCCAACAGTACAAGAAGGTTTCCACAAATCTGTTTACTTTATCCATAAAGATGGAAGACAGTTGTATTAGAGTGGCAGATTGGTTTGCATTAGTAGAGAATATTGTTCAAGCAGATGGAGATGTGTATATCATTTACAGAAGATTCAGACACAAACAGCCATACTACATGTATCCCTGTGCTTCAACTTACATTGGCACATACAAGGTCAGTGGGCTTCATAACAATGTCGGAATATGTAAACTGAGCAGTATTACATGTAAATGTGTTATTTGCCCGGATGGAGATTGTGCCATAGCAATACCACTGCTTCATTTTGGGATGTAAAGGTGGTATTCAAGTGTGTGTGTGTGTGTGTGTGTGTGGTGGTGGTGGGGGGGGGGGGGGGGGTTGTTGTTAAGGAAAACTAGTGTTGTCAATACCGGTATTCTTGTTAGCTATATGCCCCCCATAACTCCCCCAAAGCTAAAGAGGAAATCATTTTGCATTGTATTACCATTACTTATGCTAATTTCTTAAAGTACTGCTTTTTAGTCTTTAGGAATTATTGGGTTAAGGACTCCTCCAACCCCCATGCTACAGTTCTTAATGTTCAAATTGAGGGTACATAAGTTCCATTTTTACATAAGTTTGCAGGGACATAAAGTCATGTCCATCATAAATTGTGTAATTCTTACATTTCACAGGCTTTTAAGATGAATGATGAGGTGCTGTGGTCAGTTGTACAATTTTGGAATGGTGGGACAGATGTTGTTCTTCAGAGTTGGTTGAAAGACAAGACCATGTTATGGCCACCCCAAAAAATAAACATTACCAAAGCTCTTCGAGACAAGATGGAACCAGATGACAAATGGGTCTCCTACAACAATGTCCGCCAACTTGTTACCTGTAGTGAGTATAATCTGTGCAAGAGATGAGGGATACTCCAGATTAGTTACATCCAAGGATCTAGAACAATGACAGAGTAGAATACCTCATGAAGAGCTTGAGTTTTCTGACTGCAAACTTCTTGAGTAACTAGATGGGGAAAGTACTGTTGTCTTTAGCCTAATTTATACTTCCCTGTCTGCGTCGGGACAGACACATGCAACGCCTTCATCTGTCCTTGCGGGCTTTCTGAAGAGCCTTCGCACGGACGGACGGGGCCACATTGAGATAAACTCTGTGTTGTAATTACTTTGGAATATCCCTTTATTTATATGTAGAAACTTGCACAAGCTTACAATGAGTCACGTACTGTGAGCTCATAGATTGGCTGTTTTTGTAGAATATTTGCATGATTTCAGAAACATTAGCAATTAATGCATCTATACTACACCTGTCAGACTAATTAGCATTTTTATATTTCCTCCGCACTTTTTTCAGAAACTTATGATGAAGCTAGACGACGAGAAACCAAGTACAACTCAACAATGTGTGCAACCACTGAATTAGAAACCGAGGACGAAGGAGAAGAAAGGCAGAAAAGAAAAAAAAGGTAAAGTGATGTGCACCAAAAGTTACTTCTGTCTCCTCACAATTGCACCTGTTATTTATTTTTATTATTTCTCATATTTAGCACAAGGAGGTTACAAATTTATTGTATCTTGACTTTTGATATAGCCTATGTAGCGTTATGGATTGATGCTCTTTTATGAAAGAGAAACCATGCTACGTATTAATTCGGAATATTAATTTTAATAAATCAATAACCAAATTTTATATTGTTCAGAAGACTCAAAGGTTGTTTTCATCCATAAACTGCCGATAATATCTGAGTGTCTGTGTTTCAGTTCAATGAGGAAACCAGTTTGACGTTTAAAAGTTTTAATTCTTCAAATTAAACTAATGATTTTGAAATTGACAAACAGGAAATACAATCAACATTAGTAACTTTGTGGGACAATCTTTTTAACAGTTGATATGCTGTTAATGCTCAAATAGACCTTCTGTAGGTGAATGAAGATTGAGAGTGATATGATGTGATTATGGATGCGTGTGGGTGCCAAGTGTAGTGAGAATTGAACATGAGATGAGATGAATGCATGTGTGCATCTGATTTTGCTTCAGGAAGAAACAGGTGTCTGAGTGAAGTGATGGTTTGAATAAACTTAGGCTTTTAGTTGGAAAAGATGCATCAAAACGCTATCTGTCGTGTTTTGCCTCACCGAAAATCGGACCCTCTGTTGGACCCGGGACGTCACCTTAGGATGTTTCATCCAGGGCACCTTGGCTGGCAAAGAAGACAAAGATGCGCTGCGAACCGGTCCAGAGTTGTCCCTCGGTACACGTTGATGGTAAAGCGTTTTGTCGACGCGCTTTCTTAAGTTAATTCACTCAGAAATCAAAAGACTCGGTAATGAGTCTGCGTTAGAAGTTGCGGTTCAGCTATTCTGCCTGGCGTGGCAGAAACAGCGCGAGAGAAGGGGGGAAGAACGAGCCAACAGGCTCTGCCCCCCCCCTTTGGTTTTCAGGTCTGTTCTCTCTCGTTGTCCAACACGAACTGCATCAAAAGACTGAAACTTACCAAAAACCTTTCTCTTCTCAAAGCAAACGTGCGTCATCAAATGTGTCTGGAGTTTACTGTGAGCAGGTGTGTGTGGATGTGTGTGAATGTTTGTGCTTGAGTGTGTGTGAAGGTCAGTAACAAACATTCTCAACATTATTTAAGAATGGATTCATTAAACCATTATAATTACCCCAAAGCATAAGTCATTCATTTGATTAAACACATTTATAATGAGCAAAATGATAATGGTTATTTTAACATTAAAATCAAGAAAAAGAAGTTTAAACTTTATGTTTTGACTTGGTCTGGGTACAACTCATGTAAACACATCTTCTGGTAGACTGCAGGTGGCAGATGTTATGGTTTCCTCCCAGACTCGCTGGCGTTCAGGTCTTAATCTGTGGGTGAAAGTTCTCAGCGACCCAGCTTTGACACAGCTGAGTCCAACACCACCATTGTGACAGAAAACCCATATTTCCTCACGTTACATTCCCCCCTTTTGTGACGACATGGAGGTCAAGCAGAGGCCACCTGACGTCACAACCACAATAACGTGATGTACTCGTGAAGGTAGACATCCCAGATGAAGGCAGGAACGATGAAGCGTCACCACAGGTCTCGTGTAGAAGGGAGTCTATCCTGATCAGATGATTAAGGCCAAAACTGTTGCAATCATTGTAAAGTAATCCACTTAGGAATCTTGAAAGCAGAGCTATTTCAATAGCAGTTAATTTTCATCAGCAATAATGCAAAGGTATGCAAAGGATAAGCAGCTCGTGTGCCACACGGAGCTGGGCAGGTGATGTATTCCCCAGGCGTAGTCCAGGCGAAGTCCAGCGCAGACCTCGACCCATCTCGAACCACGACCGAAGCCCCATGCGACAGGAAACCAGTTGAAGGATGGTGAAGACGACCCCTCTGATGGGATGTAGTCCATACGAGCTCGGAGAAGGAGACAAAGTGAGACAGCCCACACGATAGATAGCATTTGATGCAAAACAAAGAAATCAATCAAAACCTATCTATGGGTGCCTCTGGGAAAATGTGGGTGCCTTTTGTGAATTATCTAAAGAAGAAATGTACTGCACCCTGTTCTACGTGTCATGTAAAAACGTGATGCAGGGAAAACACAAATAAAAGAAAGTAAATCCTAACTGATATGTGAAACTCAGCAGGCTGCATTAATTAAAGGCATATATATAAAGGAAATAATCATGAAAATGAAGGGCAAATTGGCTTGTGGCCCTTTAAGGGAAATAGTAACAAAATAAAATTAACTTTGTAATCAAATATAATCATGCTACACAAAGCACTAATAAAAAGATAGAGATGTAAATCAGTTCTAAAAATGTAAATCAGTAGGTTAGTAATCCCTAAAGATGTGAGTTAGTAACAGGACCCTGGCTGGAGGCAGGTAACCTGAAAACAAAACTCAAAGGATATCACATTTGTTAAAAATTCATCCCACAAACGAGAGAATTTGTAACGGTCCACCAGTCAGTGGAAAAGAATCCGGTCAGAATAGTCGGTCAGAATAGAGTTTTGAATCTGGTATTGCGGACCCACAGAGACACGAGTTTGGACGTATCTGTGGGAGCAGGCTCATAAGCGATTTGGTTATCAAACTGTTTGTATCTTGTGTTACGAACCCACAGGGAAACTTGTTTGAATTTACCTGAGGGTTCCGTTTGGAACTGGAGCGAAGCTGATGGTTTAACTGTTAGATCAGAACCTGATTTTACCTGCTCAAAGTTGTGTTGCAGCTTAACGGAGGCGACTTTGTTGTGATCAGAAATAGTAGTGAACTGGAAATGCGAAAATGATGCTCGCAAAGCGGGAGGAGGCTCTCCACCCCCCTTTTGTTTCTCAAACGTATGCCGTGTCTGTGAGACAGGAGAAGCATAACAAAGAACAGTTCTTAAGCTCTTAAAAGCCCTATTACCAAAAAGATGCACATCGTCACCTGAATTGTGCTGAAAGAGTAGGTGTTCAGATGTCCAAAGACCTGGAGGCGTTGGACTTGGAGGTTCCGAAAAGGAGTGATCCAAGGATGGTTGTGTCACGGGTGTCAAAGCAAACCTAGCCATGTTTAGAATCAGATACAGACATGTCGCTAGCTTTAGGAACATGGTCTGTCCTGAAAACTTAAACCAAGAATACTTTATTCCCAAGAATGATGGAGGTTCCCACACAGAATCAGAAAAACCCGGTTTAACCAGAGTAGTTACAGACTGACTAGAACTCCGCCCCGTAGAAGGTGCAGCACCTAACTCCGGGTCGGAGGTCAATGTTGTCAGCTGAATTGGAGGAAGGTCAGTGTCGAGTTCTGCAATGACCCGCCCGCTCGGAGGAGGCGTTCCCCCGAACTGGTTGAAGTCCGCAACGGAAAACTCAGAGCCACTCAGCACCCCCCCTTTGTCAGGAGGGGCACCGAGCAGAGCATCACTGCACGCACCTACACCTCCCGGGCCGGGTTGCCTTCCCGAGCCCGTGAGAGAGGTGTGCGCAGCAACCACCGAGCCACCTTTAATATCACCACTGACCACAGGACTGCTGGAAACCGCAGGGTTTTCTGCTTCGTCGTGGTCACCTGTAAGAGAAATCACAGGAAAGAGGGCACAGAGGCCCGAGACTAAGTCACACCCCTGTGAAAGGAGAAAGGAATTGGCCACCGTATTAGCAGAGGTCACAAACTGAAAAGTGACAAGGTCATTCACATAAAGGTCAAGATGTCCGGGCACAAACCCCTTAAATGGCATGGCAGCTCCGTCCGGAGACCATAAGCGTTTCACGTGGCTGACGTTCCCATCACGCCCCGATAAAGAAGCTGGTTTGTGCATGAGACGGACTGACGAGTAAAACAGACCTCTGACTGAAGCGGTGGGTCACAGCCTGAAGATTTCACACCCATGCTGGAGAGATGTTCAGCCTTTAACATGGATGACAGAGGAGAAGCATTAGGAACCAAAGGGTTAAGCACAACCTGTTTGTCAGAGAGGTTAACCATAGGCTCAAGAGATTTATTCAGCTTAAAAGCAGCAGAGAAAGTGTTGTTTATTTCAAACCTGGATGTTGATGGTGGGTTTTTTACCCCCTGGAAGAAATAAAAGTAAAGAAAAAGCGTTATGACTGTAAACAGCATGTTGCTCGAATTCACGACATGAAGTGCAGACCAGAACCACCTCCGACCCAGTGCAGCTGGCACCGAACCGCAGCCACTAGTCCCCACTGTTCCCGACCGGCGGCACCCGGCTAAAACGGGCCCGTTCGGGCGGGCGGAGGGACCAGCGATGCTCGGCCGGTGAATGTCCTGCGTCTTGGCATGTTCTGGAAGCAGAACGTCAGAGAACCTTACATCAGGTGTAACAGTGCAAGAAAGATTTTGTCGTGTCTCGTCCATCTCCCATGAAGTTCAGAGCAACTCGCGTTTCTACCTTCTGAGCCGACGTAAAACTCCGGGCAGATTCCTTAATATGTCTCACACAACAAGGACTGTCCGTAGCCTACTTAACTTAATGACACAGGGTAAAACAAGGAATTGTTGATAGAGAAATGAATACACACTACTTCACAAGATGGAAGAAAAAGGCATGGAACCGAGCAACGGAGGCTGTGAAAGCCGACCCGTTCACCGGTCCAAAATAAAAAAAAAAAAAAAAATAACAAACCCTACGCTGCCGTGTTGGTATCAGACGGACAAACGTAGCAAAATGTAGATTCTACACACCGTAGCGATTTACAAGAATCACCGCCAATGCGGTTTTTGTGAGGACACAGACTGACTGTGCCAGAAATGATGACAATTTAACGGGACGCGTGCCCTATTTGTCTAACTGTGGCGCTAGCTTAGCTCCCCGGCCAGGCCTAGCGTTCTTTGTCTGTAGCGGCCAGACTGAAATTTCCCCGATTAACAAGTAGGCATCTCGCTCCACTTTTAATACGGACTTTAAAAAAAACGTACGCAATCTGAATGCAGTAACGCGTAACGGCTGTGCCTCGCTTTACGACGTTTACCGAGCAGTCAAGCTCCGGCAGGTGTCACCGAGCATTCCGTTTAAAAAGCGCACGCAATCTGAATGCAGTAACGCGTGACGGCCATAACCCGGCTTACGACGTTTACCGTGCAACCAAGCAACAGTAGGTGCCTACGGGCATTCCGTTTAGATTCGGCTTCTATAAGTCGCTCATGCAATGGAGATATTTTCCACAATAGCTCGCCCACAGTGTCAACACACTGAGACGAAAGGTGTCCGAGAATTTAGTCTCGGTTCTGAGGTCGGAGAATTTAGTGAGCGGAACAATTTCCGGTTAAGTTCAAAATAAGACATCAAAGTGAAACACAGAGAAAAGCGTTGTTTGTAGCTCTTAGATGTAAGAAATCAGACATATCGCAGATATAGAAGACTGGATACGCTCGCCATTAAATGTAGCGTTATGGATTGATGCTCTTTTATGAAAGAGAAACCATGCTACGTATTAATTCGGAATATTAATTTTAATAAATCAATAACCAAATTTTATATTGTTCAGAAGACTCAAAGGTTGTTTTCATCCATAAACTGCCGATAATATCTGAGTGTCTGTGTTTCAGTTCAATGAGGAAACCAGTTTGACGTTTAAAAGTTTTAATTCTTCAAATTAAACTAATGATTTTGAAATTGACAAACAGGAAATACAATCAACATTAGTAACTTTGTGGGACAATCTTTTTAACAGTTGATATGCTGTTAATGCTCAAATAGACCTTCTGTAGGTGAATGAAGATTGAGAGTGATATGATGTGATTATGGATGCGTGTGGGTGCCAAGTGTAGTGAGAATTGAACATGAGATGAGATGAATGCATGTGTGCATCTGATTTTGCTTCAGGAAGAAACAGGTGTCTGAGTGAAGTGATGGTTTGAATAAACTTAGGCTTTTAGTTGGAAAAGATGCATCAAAACGCTATCTGTCGTGTTTTGCCTCACCGAAAATCGGACCCTCTGTTGGACCCGGGACATCACCTTAGGATGTTTCATCCAGGGCACCTTGGCTGGCAAAGAAGACAAAGATGCGCTGCGAACCGGTCCAGAGTTGTCCCTCGGTACACGTTGATGGTAAAGCGTTTTGTCGACGCGCTTTCTTAAGTTAATTCACTCAGAAATCAAAAGACTCGGTAATGAGTCTGCGTTAGAAGTTGCGGTTCAGCTATTCTGCCTGGCGTGGCAGAAACAGCGCGAGAGAAGGGGGGAAGAACGAGCCAACAGGCTCTGCCCCCCCCTTTGGTTTTCAGGTCTGTTCTCTCTCGTTGTCCAACACGAACTGCATCAAAAGACTGAAACTTACCAAAAACCTTTCTCTTCTCAAAGCAAACGTGCGTCATCAAATGTGTCTGGAGTTTACTGTGAGCAGGTGTGTGTGGATGTGTGTGAATGTTTGTGCTTGAGTGTGTGTGAAGGTCAGTAACAAACATTCTCAACATTATTTAAGAATGGATTCATTAAACCATTATAATTACCCCAAAGCATAAGTCATTCATTTGATTAAACACATTTATAATGAGCAAAATGATAATGGTTATTTTAACATTAAAATCAAGAAAAAGAAGTTTAAACTTTATGTTTTGACTTGGTCTGGGTACAACTCATGTAAACACATCTTCTGGTAGACTGCAGGTGGCAGATGTTATGGTTTCCTCCCAGACTCGCTGGCGTTCAGGTCTTAATCTGTGGGTGAAAGTTCTCAGCGACCCAGCTTTGACACAGCTGAGTCCAACACCACCATTGTGACAGAAAACCCATATTTCCTCACGTTACACCTATTATGTGAAACATACTAAATATGTTTTTGTTCAGGCCAAATCCAAAGTATCTAGACTCAGACCCAGATGAGCCATCGACTGGTCACCTTAAGATAAAACCGCTTCCCAGACCACCTGATGTGGGCGTTCCAGGTATTTACTCAATATAGCATGGCAATAGTTATTTTTCTATATGCACACCTATATAATGTAAGACAGTCTAGGTTAGTAGTCCTTTAAAATCTGCAGCACCACACTGAAATGAATTATGTTTGTCTGAATTTGTCTTAATACATTGTGCTCATAATTTGTTTTACCAACTACTGTACTTTGCAGGAGGGATGTCAAATTACAGTCAATTCCAAGAGACGCCAAATTACTGCCAGGCCCAGGCTGTATGGTCCCCAGAGCATACAACGGAAGGTATGTTGTTTACTGGAATCAGTGTTGCCAGACTGGAAATCATACCAGATCTTAAAATTATCGTATTTTGAGAAAAATTATCGTACACTACTTAGTTGCATCCTGACACATCTGATGACCAACAGCTTCAATATTAGTGCAGTCATGGGCAGCGTCATGTGTCACTGCACACACTGTAAGCATTGATTGGTTGTTAAGGAATGTCTCTGAATGCAATGTGTAGCCGCAGATTTCAAACAAGGAAGGGCTGAAATTATCGTACATGTGGGATTTATGATCGTACAGAGGGCTAAATTATCCTACAAATACGATAATTATCGTAAGTCTGGCAACACTGACTGGAATAGTATTTGATTTGAATATTTTGGCAATGTTGTATAGGTCTTGAATTTCAATCATAATGATCTTAAAATTTCTTAAAGTCACTAAAACCTACAAGAACCCCATATTCATACCTTTGGTGGTTTTCATTTTTGGGTGCAGTTGGTGACGTTTACAGCCATTCTGACAACTTGATGCCTGATCCAAGTAACAGTAAGTGAATCCATGATCGGTGTCATTGATGTTCTCATGAGGAAATAACTGGCATCATGTACACAAGTGAAGACTTAACTTTAAGATGTATGTACATTTTAGATACAACACCAAGATCAAACCATTATGGACATCTTAGGCCCTCACAACTGTCAAGAGATGGTAAGTAACAATTAAAATAAATAAATAACAATTAAATAATGCAGAAAAGAAAAACATTCTATGGGGTTCACATACGTTCTACTTTGAATAGTAGTTTTAGATCATGCAAGTATAGAAGAGAGAAGTATTGAAACCATTTCATGCTTCATTAATCTTATTTTACCTCTTTTGTAGTTGTGTTTACAGGTGCCTGTGACCAACGATCAACACATGAGCAAGTTCACAATGGTAAGCTGCCAAATGATTGTTAGCATTTATATAATCCTCTGTATTTGGTGTTTTTAAAATAATTTTATTGAAATATTAAAATGGGAAAGTGTGTATTCCATCTTTTGTGTTCCTAACTCCATGATGCATTAGATCAAACATACTCATTTAGAAAGGTTACAATAATAAATGCTAATAATTTCACTGACTTTTACTTTTCTTATGTGTTTCAGAAATGATGTCAGCATCCGGTGCTGTGCAATACCATCAGTTGCAGGTCCCACAGGGAGAAAGTAAGATGCCATACTACACTTTTTTACAATCATGGGCACAGAACTCTGCAGTGAAACTGATATAACTAATATATTGATGACACATAATGACTAATTAACACATTTTAATAATTTAACTAATTAGCGGACCTGTAGTAGCTGAAAAAAAAATCTGCCAATTGAAACATTTTGGTAGTGCTTCCAAATATATAAATTAATATCTTTGTTTTTGCAGATTTATTCCCACCCCACATTTCCAGGCGATACACCCCCTTGCGTGCTCATCAACATGCTCAAAACGGTATGCAGTACTGTCTTCTAGGTCAATAACCACAACTTACTAATGAAATATCAAATATCTTGTCATTTTTTATGCCCTCTAATGTCGGATAAGTAGACAGTTTTTTTGTGTGTGAAGTGTGAAAGGGAAGAGCTTTATTTTCTTATAGAAGGCATTGCTCAAGAGTGATCAGTAGTAGATACATTTTCAAGTGGGTTGGCAGTTTGAGCCAAATAAGAGAGAAAATAGTTGTAATGGTCTTGTAATACCACTGGGAAGGCGGCCTGGGTAGGCTGATGAATTTTTTTTTAAATTTATTATTATTATCTTTATTTCATTAAAAAAATAACACAACAGATACTAAACAATATTCATGAAAACACAATATATATTTGAATGAAAGGGAGCAGATAGAAGAAAAAATCTTATAATTTCTTTGTTTGTGTTGATGGTAAAGAAATGCATATAATTAACATACGTTGTCTTTATAGATGTGACCATGCAGGCTGACAATGAACATATTTTGAAAGGTAAGTATTAGAAACTGTTATGCTCTGCCACATCCCAATGCATGGTCAGATCTTTTATTACTAGAGCTGCAGCAAACACATTTTTTTGATTGTCGACTAGTCACAGATTATTTTTGACACTGATCAGGTCATGCATACACGGATGCAAAACATACAGCTTATTGCACCACCATTCAGCTGGACGGGATGATAGTTTGATAAACTTAATGAACTTTGGACCTTGTAGCAACAAACATTAACTGTAGCAAAAAGTGCAACATTCCTGTAAGTGTTCAAAACTGCTGTTTGCTTATTGGCTGCAGCACAGCACACATGTTCTTCAAGGACAGAAAGGCAGACAAGGCAATGGAAGGTACAGTGGCACAGGGTTTCCCCCAGAAAATGTGATAAGCCTCGCAGACCAGACCGTCTGGGATGAAAACTGTGTTTGACAGATCATTCTGTTGGACGGATTGTTAAGTTCCGCTGCTGTTTCTCTGCAGTATCAGTTGAGCCAAGCAAAGGCTTATAAAGCGCTGGGGGAAACCCTGGTGGCAGTTTGAGGGAAAAAATGCATATAATTAACATACGTCTTAAAAAATAAAACGTCGATAACTAAATTTGTCGCCAACGATTGTACTAGTTGACATAATCGTGACTAATCGACTAATCATGGCAGCCCTACTAACTATTAAATACTTCACCACAAAAGTATTCAGTACATTTTTGTCTCATGAAAATTTGTTTACTTTTTTAAGACATTGCCATCCGAAAGATGACTGAAATGCTTTCCCAAGTACTAGTGGTTGTGAAGGAAGTATCAAGAGATGTACAGTTCATCAAGAGTGAATTGGCAGATGGTAAAATTACTCCAGCTAGTTGTGAAGGACCACTGCCAGACACAGTTCAACAGATGTTGCCCATCCAGTTGCCAATCACCTCTGAAGATGACTTCAACAAGGCTGAATTATTGCTAAAAAATGAGCCAGACCGTCAAAAGATGGTAATTTGTTTAACAAACAGCATAAAAAGGCGTTCTGTATATTAAACTTAATTTGGTTACATCAACATGCAAACTGGCAATAACTTCTATCGATTTTTCTTCTTATTTCACTAGATTGCTCGCTTGGCCTTAGTGGGAGGCACTACCTCCACCTGTATGATTCGAAGAATGCTTGTGACAGTTTTGACCAACAGCCTGGCCTGCAAGTTCAATTGGGCAGGTAAAAAAAGGACACCGCATGATTCCAAGCAGCCGTTCAAAGACACAATGATGCAAGACTGCATGTTTGGTGAGTTTATATAAGTGTTTATTTTTGAGCTGTTTTGACAATCACAGTGATGTGCATTTAGCTGGTGGTGATCGGAGGGACCGGTGGCACCTGTGTTCGGCAGCCTCTGTCAGTGCCCCAGGGCAGCTGTGGCTACATCGTAGCTCATCATCACCAGTGTGTGAATGGATGAATGATACGCTGTAGTGTAAAGTGCTTTGGAGTCCTCTGACTCTGAAAGGTGCTATACAAGTGTGGTTAATTTATCTTTATCATTTAAGGCCAGACATTCAATGATTTAAAGTGGATAGAGCTGTGCACTGTCCCCCCTCCAGCGTTCGGTGCACGGCTGCAAAACGGTCTATGCTCAGTTCCCCCACTCACCCCGTGCCATGGCTGGAAAAGTTTCTAGGGGAAACACTGAATCGTATAAGTACAATTAGTGGTGCGTCGGATCAAAAATTCACGGTTCGGATCATATAACGGTTGTCAGTCATGGATTGGATAGTTGTTTTTTGGATCAGCAGAAAGAAAAGTAAAAACAAATAGCTTTGCTCTGTCTCTTTATTTTGTACAACTTAGTGCAACATTTTATACTCAGTTTGCAACTTGCTATAAAAGCGGGAGTTACAAAAAGGTCAGAATGCTGATGTTAAAACGGCTTGCCCTACAGGCTCTCCCTTTGTGTTCAGCTTTTACTCATCTCCAACTCTTTGATGCGCTGTTTATTTTTCTTTTGTTCTCTTTTAAAGATTTGTCATAAACAATATTTACAGGTCTCACCACATTTATGTTATGTCGGTTATGTCCAAGGCATGTTTCACGCACCATCCCCTTCCTCCCTTTACAGCAATCGGAGGTATGTGTGTGCGACGCTGCGTCATCAGACTGGCGGCGCGTGTTAATTTTTGTAGTTTGTATCATCATTGTATTTTACAGGGGAGCTAAAATGCTCCCATGCATCCTAAATGATGCAGGGTTGTTTTCAAGCTTCTCTCCTCCGCCATCACCACCGCTGTGCGTGTGAACAGGTAGTGCCTCCGCCCTCCACGTGACCGAACCATGTGCGTGTGTGCTGTAGAGAGATCCATAAGGATCACAGACCAAAGATGATCCATCCATTGCACCCCTTGGTACAATATCATATCTGTTTCTAAATATATCCCGATATGATAAAAATATCGGTATATTGCTAAACCTTGTGATAACTTGACTTGTACTGTAGCAGCTGAAAAAGTTTTGAAAATGTAAAGATGAAAATGAAAACTTAAAATTGTAAACAAGCTTTAAAAAAATTTACTGAATTAAAGACAATTTTCTAGCTGAAAGAAAAATGTAGTTTGAATTTTTCTTATTTTGAATACGTTCTTTGGTTTTTCAGTGTATGTTCAAAATTTGACTTTTCCTTTCAACTTTTATTGTTTCAGTTTCAAACTTTATTCTCAATTATCCAAACATTCTGCCTGTCTCTGCTCCATATATTCCTACTAATGAGATTTGAGTGAAGATGTGCTTGTCATACAACTCTGGCATCCTTTGTCTTTCAGCTGCTGCTCGGCAGTATGACAGACATCTCACGCAACAGGCCTTCAGCGACACTGTGAAAAAGTGGCTACGTTACGCCCCATGGCGTGCTGGAGGAAAAAAGAACAACTAGAGGTAAATGAATTTGATAATACTAAACTGCCGTTTGCATGAGTACTGCATTTTCCAGACTATAAGCCGCTATACTTTATTCACTTACTTTGGACCGTGCGGCATATACAACGGTGTGGCTTATCTGTGGATTTTTTACAGCGCAGGAGCATACTATCAAAGAAGCGCAAGAGTGAGAGACCGTTCACGCTAGGTAACAAGAGCAAACAAACCAAGTGAGCCAGTCTGCACCAAGGAAGTGTTCATGCACAAATCCTCATTATGGAAAACGAACGGAGAAGTAGATATGATGCTGCTTTTAAGTTAAATGCAATCAAGCTGGCTGTCAAAGAAGGAAACTGCTTGGCTAAACTTGGCATCAACCCTTTTTACACAGGCCAGCCGGCAACTGTATTGAAAATGAAAGTAAACACGGGCAGTAAATTTTGTTTTTTGAACAAAATCAGCTGAGATGGCAAAGTTCCTCTCAGTTAGAGCTGGAGCTCAGTTCACCAGAGACTGCAAGAGGACAGACACCTTTACCCCCAAATTCCACTACCCCCGCTCCGCTCCGACACGAACGCCGGAGCAAAATCGGTCCCGTTGTAGTCAATCAGAGCAATTCCACTACTGCGGCCGTGCTCCGGCAGTGCGGCGCCGTGTGCCGCCCTCTGTTCCGGCGTCCGGCACAAATAGAATCGATCCTATTTTCGCCGGATGCCGGAGCACCTCCACAGTAAATGGACAGAAATCACCACCGCCCAACAGGAAAAGGAGCGAGCACAACTTCCGTTTTTCACAATAAATCGATAAACAAAAGGCGTTTTTAGTTTCATATGCACAGGTTTAACAACCTTTAACAACTATCAGTGGCGGCTGAAGTTTAAATGCACAAAAGTAAGCCATAAATACAGTTTCTACTATCAAAGTAGTCACACTTTGTTGATCCAAACACTGCTGATCTCTCAACACAAATGATGGGCAGATTAAACAGTTCATTTCGATGCTTCTCCCACACAACGGGTGTTTGGATCTAACGTCCGTGTTTATTGCTCGGACTGTATCGCAAGATCTTGAAAATCCCGCGCATGCTTGTTTGCCCAGCTCAGGTCTCCGCCCGGAGCGGAGCCGTTGTAGAGCGGGTACCAGTAAAAATTGAGTTCGGAAGCGAGCGGCTGCGGAAGGCGGGGGCGGACCGGAGCGGAGGTAGTGGAATTTGGGGGTTAGGAGCGGCTTGTGAAAAAAACGTAATGATCGCTGCTTTGATCTCAATTAAAAGTCCGCGGGAGCACAGAAACCGCCCCATACCCCCTTTATGCCGCTGTCACCTAATGTTTTATAAAAAAAAAAAAAAAATGGACGTCATTACCGCCCCAGACAACATAGCTCCTATGATCATTAGGGCACTCAAACTCCTCCACCACGATAAGGTGACGGTTCAAGGAGGAGATCAACTAATCGTATGATAGATAAAAAGAAACTCAATAATTTTTCCAACCTTGATATATCGAGGTTAAGAAATGTAAAACACTTATGATTATTATTATTTATGTCCGAATGACTGAAGCAGAACCAATATTCTGCTGGACAGAGCTAATGTTTGGTTCCATGTTTCAAGGTGTGCCTTGTTTTGACGGACATACTTCCGGTTCCGGTGTGTTGTGAATGACGGATATAAAAGCAAGTAATAAAAGACGAATATTTTGATTATATTCATGCTTATTAGTATGTTTACATGTACAGTAGTCCGTCAGCCGCATTTGGGATTCTTTAGCGTGTTTTAATAGTGTTTAATGATTGCTGTTAGCTCCTACTGCTAAAACTAGCCCTGCCTTGACGTACATGATAAGCTGCTAACATACCTTTAGTTACATGAATGTGGGTTTATTTATTTTTTAGCAGTGTGTGTCAGTTATGTCTTTGTTGTATTATTTTAACTTATGGAAATCCCTTTGTTTCTTCTTAGAAACATCTAAACCCATGTATCTTGCTTTGGTTACACGAGTCTACTGTTCAAGTTTAACTTAGATAAACTCACTGAGAATAATTCCCCTGGTTCTCTGACCGAAGCCTACCATTCATACTGGCTGCTTCAACCAGTCTGTTTTCCTTTGTTAGTGTAGCATTACTTTATTATCATTATTAAAGAGCAGGTTTGGTTGTTAACACTGTGGCCATTGTTTTGGAGGGACCGTTTGTCCTCATTATCTGGTAACATTTAAGGCCTTCTTTCAAAATATAATGTATGGGTGGCTACTTATGCTGTTAAAAGCCTATACATGTCATGCAGCATTCATTTTGACAATTCAGATGAGTAAGAAAACCATAAACAAAGCACTACTGCATCCCCGTACAATCATACTGCCTTTTGAACTTGCCACTAAAACAAGGATGATTCGTCTCCTTTTTAGCTCAGAGGATGCATTTCAAGGGAGTTAATATAATTAAATTTGAAATGTTCCTCCTTGTGTTTTAAGCATTATTCAACTTTTACAGCATTTTATTGCCTGAACTACTTTAAGACACGTTGCAAGAATCAAATTTCAGATTAGCGTGTTTTTCCCCAAAAGATTTATTTTTCCCTGCTTTCAACAGCTCATATGTTTTCTTTCTCTATTCTCTTTCAAATATATGGCTTGCATGGTTTGAAAATAATCGCATTTTGTTTTTATGAAAAACAATTACCAAGCATCCCAACTTTTTGGGAATTTGAGTTGTAACTACATACTGTCTGCTGTGTTTTGGGTCACATTGTGACCGCTGTCTCTCTTTCTCTTCCACAGTGTCCTTTTCACATGGGCTATGGCGGTGGAGTTCTGGTTGTATTGTTAGTGTTACCAAGAAAATTCTATTTCCTGTTATCTGCCTAACTGTTATTACCTTTAATGAATTGTCCTCTGTTAAATAAACAGCTGTATTTTGAAGTCAAAGTGTTAAACTTTTGAGCTCTTATTGTTTTAAAAACAGATATTTTTGAAGTGATGGAATAAACCTGAATGTAAACCATTTGCTGTTTGTTCATTAATTCAAAAACTTGCAGTTAGAGGATGGTTGTAACAATATTGATTCAGTTACTTTTTCTAAACATTGAATCAACTAAAGTTTTAATGTAGATACACATTTAGATGATGGTTGAATCACCATTGATTCAATGTCTGCATGGTTGAAAATTCAATGTTGATTCAACAAAAAGCATAGGAGACACTTTCAATATAATTTCAACATCAGGATTAAATGTAATTTCAGTGTTTCTGCAAAACATTATTTCAATGTTTATTCAACCAATTTTTGCTATCTGGGATGTGTGTTGAAATTAGTTTTTACAGTTATTGCACATTAAACATGTTATTAAACAAATGTCCCGGTTTGTGGGACAACCAAGGATTTCTGATTCTGATTGTCTTGTTCACAGAAATGTAATGTACAGCTTACCTCTGCACCCAGCTGCTGTTGTTCCCTGCATGGCAACATTAGCTCTGCTGCCTAGCATGGCTAGCTTCACCGTGTTGTTGTCCATGTGTGCCCGGGATGACTCGTGTTTCTTCACCTTCTCAGAAAAATGTTTCATGTCTGTAACTCCTGACTCATCCATGCCTTATCTGTCCCAGCCGTTTTGAATAACAAACACGGAAAGCAAAATAACGCATTAGCGTGATTGCATCCAGCTAGCCAAGCCTTCCTGGTGTACCAATTTTGGGAGAAGCCTCGTGTGTACAGTTTACCTCTCTCCTTCTCCTGATGGCTTATCTTTACGTCGGGCTGATCTGGTCCAAGCTCTTTGACATTAAGTATTTCCACCATAGTTCTCCTCTCGAACGGATACTGGAGAAGAGACCGAACTGAATTCAGTGGCTGCTGAGATCCGGTATCCATGCTGGTTGTAGGCGCACTGGCGGCGTCCATGTTACATCTGCGTCACGACCAAAAACGACTCTGCCGAGTTCTACCGAACACCAACGAATCCTTTGGCGGTAGCTCCATCGCCCATCATGCTTCTGAAACGTTCTGAAACAACGTCGACGCTGATTGGATACATTCCCATTCCTATCCTTTGATATTCTTGTCAGCAATTGGACAGCTGGTCTCGTCCTGTTTGGGCGATTGAAAAACAGCACACAGCCTCCACCGCTCTGCAGAGATCGGCAGAGACCGGCAGAGACCATTATATATATATATATATATATATATATATATATATATATATATATATATATATATATGATTTATTTTTGTTACAAAACACACAATTAACTTAGAATATGTGATTATTGTTAATTTTATTTATTTATTTTTTTTAAATAAAAATTAAAAACACGGAAAAACTGTGAGGGCGTCGCCCTATAGCCCTCTACTGGCCAGCCGCCACTGATTAAATCTAGAAAATTAGAAAAAAAACCTTTAAATTTTTATTTCTACTGTAAATCCTCTAATACAGGCCCGGGCCTGTATTTGACTCAAGCTCACCAAGCTCCAGGCCTTTATTGGAAGGAGGACCAGAATTAGAGGCAGGCCTCAATTTCTATTTGAGCAAAATGAACTAATGGTTTGCTGGAGTTTTTGACAATTAAAATTGTGCCCACATTTTCAAAGTTAAACAGATTTCTTTTAACAACGGTAGTTTCTGCTTCAGCCCTCTCCCCCCTCCCCCTGCGCAGCGGCCGCAAACTCACTGATGCGCCTGCAGCCTCTCGGAGTTCCTGCTGCTCTAAACATTAAAATAATTATTTCATTTTCTGTTCCTCACTTCTGATTACCTTCAGTGGTGTCTGTTTGTTGCAACCACCAGGTACAAAAACGAACTCGTTTTTATTTGACTATTTTTCTGTCCTGTCTGTTTATTATCTTCCTGCATCTCCTCTCAATCCTAAAGAAAAACTGCTACCTGCTTTCATATATATTCACCTTATGAGTTACCTTTGAACTGCAGTTCTAAAAGATCTACCGACCGCAAAAACAGCGGAGTGCTCGCCGGCCACATCAGTTAGGTACGTCACCGAGGACAAAACAGGTGATGCGCCCTGATCCACAGCAGCGAAATGCATCAGGCACAAATAAAAGAATAAAA